TAAGGAAGTAGATTGCCCAACCTTCCTTCCAAGGAGTGGCTGGTGGATTTGAACCGCCAGCCTTCTGGTTAGCAGCCAAGTGTCTTAGGCATTATGCAGAATTCTCACCTTCCATGCAAGATACTCAGGTTTGATTTCGCCACTGCACCTCATGCACTACCATCATTCATCTTTGACAACACAACAACAGCTAACAGCGAATCTAACAGCAATAGCAAGTCATTGAAGGATTTTAATCAGGGGTTGTGGAGTCATATATGTGGTTTTAAAAGATCTCTCTAGCCTCAGTCTAAACAGATTGGAAACATTTCACTTTCCCAAGCTGCTTATTTCATGTAACAACACTATAGCAAATTTTGCATGTACGTTAATAATTTGCTTTGTTGGTCCTCCTACCCTCCAGGATGCCCAAAAGGATTCTATGGGAAGAACTGCAAGAGGAAATGTAATTGTGCCAACAATGGTCATTGCCACAGGGTGTATGGGGCCTGTATGTGCCAGCCAGGACGCTATGGGCGGTTTTGTCATCTGAGTAAGTCAGTCACTAAATTCCCTCTCTGTGTGAGGAATGAAGGCATAGTAAAGTACAGAAAATATATGAGACAAAGGAAGAGATTGAAAAACATAACGTATTTTTATAGTCATATGATTATAAACATACGATGATTGCTCTAGTTTTTCTTTTGCCTTCTTCAATAAGAGAATCTGGATTTTCATGAGTGAAATAAAAGTATTTTTAAGTTTTTTTTCTAGTCAGCATTTACCTTAATTACTGAGAGTGGTCATAAATAGTTCTTTGAAATGGATATTTGACACTTTAAGGGCATTGACTATTAAGCACCCTAACAAATTTCTTTTATTCCTGGGCTATAATGCAAAGCAGTGTCATTTCCTAAAATTTCTACAAGAGTTTCTTCTTTTTGCCCTTGGACCATCAATCACATTTAGAAAAAGTACAGGAAAACAGGATGACCAATAAGTACTTCAGCCCAAGATTAACTTTCAGAATTTCTCCCACTGGGAACGCTTGACATTCTACCTCAGAACTGTGTGCCTGTGCCAATGAGCCTGAATCTGACTTTGTTTTGTTCCTCGACCAGTTCCATATCCTTCCATTTTAATATTTTATATTAGTAGACATATATTACAAAAAAAGCTTTTGCCGTTTCAAAATTTTTACATGTGCAATTCAGTGATACTAATACTGCAGTACTGTGCAACCACTGTTTCTAATTGTTTCCATCACCCTAATAGAAGCTCAGGAGCTCTGATAGCGAAGTGCCTAAGGCACTTGACTGCTAACCAGAAGGCTGATGGTTCAAACCCACCAGCCACTCCTCAGAAGGAAGGTTGGGCAATCTACTTCCATAGTGA